GTATTATTATCAATATAAATTTACATAGTACTCTGTGGAATTCACTATTGTGCAGATACTTTTTTCTTTTTAAGATTATTTATTTTGAGAGAGAGAGTGTGTGAGCACAGGCAGGGGAGGGGCAGAGAGAGAAGGAAAGAGAGAGAAAATCTCAAGCAGGCTCTGCACTGCCAGCATGGAGCCTGATGCAGGGCTTGAACCCACGAACCATGAGATCATGACCTGAAACAAAACCAAGAATTGGACGGAGGCTTACCTCACTGAGCCACCCAGGCGCCCCTATGCAGATACTTTTAATTTTTATTTAGTTTTTACTTTTACTTTTTTTTTAAATTTAATTTAAGCTCTATGCCCATCATGGCGCTTGAACTCACAACTCCAAGATCAAGAGTTGCATGCTCTACCGACGGAGCCAGCCAGGTGCTTCTATTTTTTATTTAAAAAAAAAAAAAAAATAGCCCAACATGGGACTTGAACTCATGACTTTGAGATCAAGAGTCATAAGCTCTAACTGAGCCAGCTGGGTGCCATGCAGATAACTTTTTAGAGCTATTTAAATACATACACATGTAGCTGATATGTGACCTCAGCTATTTAACCCATCAGTTTCTCTAATTAACAGTTATGATTATTATGAAACTAAACAAGTTTCATACTAGAATTGGTAAATAACAATATCATAATAAAAGTAATATACATTTAAAGCTGTCATCTTTTGCTAATTTTTGGGAAAAGGCGACCCTACAATTCACCCTAAAAAGATTTACAAGGCTATATAATAATATGGACAGGTCTTTATAATTCTATGAAGGACTGAAGGATCACTTTTCAATATCCCAAAGATAAGAAAGTGAAAAAAGGTTTAAAACAAAGCCCAGTAGGTGATATTCAGCATATAAAAGTTGTAAAAGAAATAATTTGATAAAAGTGCAGCCTTTTGTTTCTATTTGTAAGTAAACCTTTGACACTAGTCAATGCTCCAAGTGATTTCTAAGTAGATCTGCTTAGGGGAGGCAATGTAACTTAGTAACGAAAGTATATGATCCCTTGCCAGGGCCTTGGTATCTAAATACTATTCTTCACTAAAAAGAACTGGTGTTCCTTGGAGAAATGGCTATTCCAAGGTATTTCAAGGCAGGGAAGATACACAGTGAAAATATCTGGTTGTTGCATCAATAAAGAAGTGGTCAAAAGGAAGTGGGATGGGGGTGGCAAGGAGGAGGGGGAAATGTTGATAGGCTATAGGAGCCAGATTGAAGGGGAACCTGTTGGCTAAATCTGAGATAATGTGGGCATAAAAACAGATAAGGACAATCATGGATTGTAACTCATTAAATAAATTAGGAATCTCTGAGGCCACGCTGATGCTAGATAAAGAAGTGGAGCGGGGGGCGCCTGGGTGGCGCAGTTGGTTGAGCGTCTGACTTCAGC